ACAAGACCTTTTATTCTTATCTTCGAGCAAGCTCTTTGCTTCTGTCTCCAGTCTTAGAACTTCTTATACCTTCTCTTTTTCTTTTCTTCCTGAGTTAATCTAACCCGCATCTTAATCCCCCTTATTTGTTCACCCCATTACTTTACCTCCTTTCTCATGTGCTGCTTCACCCTTCTCCTTCTAGCTCCTTTCCTGTTTTACAAAGTTAGGTCTCCTAGGTCCAAAAAGTTATTCTTCAACACTGTCAGTTTTCAAGTTGCCACTCCCATCTTCTTTTTAGTTCTAAACTCGAATTGAAAAAAATAAATCGCATCTAATTCAGAAACAATTGACTATTGAAAATGTAGTTTCTGATTTGATGCTCTCAATTCTCTGAAGCGATTATTATGTGCATTATATATTTCCAAAAACCAGGATTCAAAGAGTTAATTCTCAGGGTCCACACCAACTTACATTTCAGAGCCTGTCTCTCAAAATTCCATGTTTAAAACATAAAATGGACAGAACCTTAGGAATAGCCTACATTTAGAAGTTGCATGTAGAGGTTACTTTCTTAACAGACTTTGGTCTTCTTACAACTCTTCTGGTGTGTGTTCCCTCAAAGCTATGAATGGCCAGTTCACCAGATGCTGTGGCATTTTCTCAGACTACCCTCTTCAACCTACCTATAGCATTTGTCACTGTTGACCATCCCTTCTTGAAATGTTCTCATCCCTTTGCTTCCCATTATACCATAACTTCCTGGGTTTCTTTTTATTTCTTGGTTTCTAATTTTCCTTTGCCTCCAGGCATAGGCTCTTTCCAGGTTCTATAAGTTTAAATGGCTTTAGCCTTCTCTTAGACATGGATAGTTTCCAAATTTGAGGTTGTTTTTGCTCCTGACTCTTCTGCCAGGCTCCCAACCATTCTTTCCTGAGTGCCTGATCGATATTTCTCAAAAGCATTTGTGGGCCTGTGTTAAAACTCAAATTCCAAATTGGATTTCTCTCTCACCTCCTGTTTCTGTTGAATGCACTTCCATTTTTAAGGCACTCAGACATAGAACCTCGGTCTTATTTTTTTCCTTCCCAATTTTTGAGGCTCAATTTTTTTGTGAATTTTAAAGACTCTTGCAAGTAAGCATCAACAGCCAGGTTATAAACACCTTGAGCCCTTTTATGTTCTACTTCAGAGTGGTCATTATTAGGTTAAAATTGAAATTGCCATTTTCAAAACCAAAAGTTTTTAAATATTAGTAGTTTCATGTGGTTCAACCTAATGCAGTGTAAAACTCTTTTATACTTTATTTAACTTATATGTTCATTTTGTTTCCTACACTTGGCATGCCCTCCTCTCACCTCAGGGGATCCACTTTGTCTTTCTTCCGTTACACTCCACCTGGTTTATAAAGCATTTCTTGATCCAATTGAACATAATCTTTATCTCCTTTGAACCCTTAGAAACTTTGAGGGCATCTCTGTAAAGAACTTTCAAATCAACATTTTGTTCTAGTTTCTGTTACTTGGTTTATATCCTTGGTTTACATGAAAAATTGCAAGGGTTTAATTAAGGCTTAGACTTCTTTTGTATTTCTTTCATTTCTATGTGTAATCCAAATTAGTTGTTCAACATCGTTCTCTGATATTTGTCTTTTACTAGTAGTTGAGGATAACAGCTTATAGGCTTCCATGATGCCCTGTGTGTATAGGCTTATGGCTCTCTTCCTGCAATGTTTATTACTGAATCAAAGGAGGAAGCAACAGTCTGCTAACATATATTTAAAGTCAGTAAAGTTACCATCTATACTTTTAGATTTACATGTAATTTAGATTACATTTTTAGAAGGTGAAAAAACTCAGTCCATGTTCACTTTAATTTTGTAATTAGTATCTTTCTCTATTATATTCGTCAGTCTTTACCTTGACAACTGTGACTGCCACTAAAAGCCATTAAATCCAGATGCAATTTTGATAATTACAAATAAAAATGGGACTTTTTGTTTGCTGGTCATGCAACTTTCATCTTTGCATATGTTTATGTGATTGATAAATATTTTATGATTGAGACTTCTCAAGTTATGTTTGCCTAGAGATTACTAATTATCCTTTCCACTCTAAGAGATAAATGAAAAGAAAACTGCTGAGAAAGAAGAGCTTGCTGCAGAAAAATCGAATGCCCTGAATGTCATGCAGAATATTTTGCATATTAACTTAAGCAGTTCTACAAGCAAAGGATCAGTAGCTGCTAAGAAATTTAAGTATGGTTTATGTTCTATCCAATTCCACCTATTTTCCTTTTCTATAAATGTCTTATTGAACTCAGTTTAAAACTAGGCCATTTTAAACTTCCTGGGGAGGGCAGTGGCAATATGTATCAGATCCTTAAAAATATATTTAACCTTTGACCCAGTGATTCCAACTTCAAGAAAATCTTAAATTATTTCTGTATTTATATTCTATATATTATAGTAGATTGCGCCTATTAGTGAAACAATTGGACAATGGCTTAAATATTAATAAGTGTAATTTTATTATGGAAAATTTTAAACATGTAATTTAGAGAGATTACTGTAGTGAAACCCCTCTACACTATCACCCAGCTTCTACAGTCACCAACATTTAACCAGTTTTCTATACCTTCACTTTTCTCCTGTGTTCCCCACTGACATTTTATGCAAATCCTAGTAGTATATCATTTTATCTATATATGTTTTATTATATTTAAAGTAATTTTTAGTATTAACAAAAAGATCCAGGAAAACTCAAAACTAGGTAATTTTAAATACGATTGTTTTTAATGAGATCCTAATACTCTTTTTCGATATGTATAGCTTTGCCTTGCTCAAAAATTGGAATTACTCTGGTGTTGAATTATAATTTGGTTTTAACTTTTTGCATTAGTGTTTTGATTTATCTCTTCCAACTTATCACTCCTTTTTTTACATAGGGACATCATACACTATGATCCAACAAGGCATGACCATGCCACTTACGAAAGAAAGAGAGATGATAAACCAAAAGAAAGGTAAATCAAGCTACTTCTTTTAGTAACGAGATCATTTAAATTAATCTAATTTCAGACAATGAGAAAAGTAGATAGTAACCAATATCCCATCCATTGGTTTCCATTGTATTTAGTTTTAAGACCAGGGAAAGTAAAGGAGTGGAAGGAATTATGAACATGGTGGAGAGAGCCTTAACTTTGACAAAGGACTTTCATGCATGTGCTCCTATTCTAATATGGTGCCTCCTACCTGTATTACTTTCTTGTAGCTGCTATAACAGATCATCAGAAATTTGGCAGCTTAAAATCACAAAAAAAATTTTTTCTCACAGTTCTGGAGACCAGGAGCCTGAAATAAAGTTTATTGAAAGGACTGCATTCCTTCTGGAGATTCAGGAGGAAAATCCATTTCACACCTCTCTCTTAGCTTTAGGTGACTGCCAGCAATCCTTGGTTTTATGGCTATATTACTTCAATCTCTCTTCCCCCTTTACATGGCCACCTCCTCTTTTCTGTATATCATCTTTATGTCTATTATAAGGATACTTGTGATTGCATTCATTTAGGGCTTATCTGGGTAATCCTGGGTAATCTCTTTGTTGCAGGGTCTTAACTACGAAGATCCTTTTTTCTAAATATGGTAATATTGACAGGTTTTAGCAGTTAGGGCCTGGACATATCTTTTGGGGGGCAACCGTTCAATCCACTACTCTTGTGTGGTAAGAAATTCTATGTCCTATGTGCAGTCAGTTTGATAAATATGCTAAATACATGGAGCAACCAGTAACTTTACCTGGTTTAATTCCTTCATTTTCCTGCTGTTAAAATCACTAATGGCAATGTGGTATCCTGAATTAGATCCTGGAACAAAAAAGACATTTGTGGAAAAACTGGTGAAATGAGAGTACAGTTTGCATTTAGTTAATAGTAATATAACAGTATTCATCGTTTAGTTTCGACAGTGCTATCATTATATAAGTTGCTACCATAAGAGGAAACTAGATGAAGGTTATTTGGGAATGCTGTACTATCTTTTCAACTTTTCTGTAAATCTAAAATTGTTCCAAAATTAAAGGCTTATTTTTAAAAGAATCACATATCAGACCAAAGTAGAAGTGTCAAATACTTCTTACAAAAGTATAATTTTTTGTGTTATTTAAGATAATCCACAATGAACATGGTACATAAGTGGGGTATATTTTGTATAATGTATTAGTTTTTATTTACATCTAGGGCATATTACTTATCTATTGCTACATATCAAAGTATCCAGAACTTAACATCTTAAAACCTCAACCATTTATTATCTTGAAGTGTCTGTGAGTCAAGAATTTGGGAGCCGCTTGTGTAGGTGGTTCTGGCCAGGGTCTCGAGATAGAGTTTGCAGTCAAAATGTTGCCTGGGGTTTCAGTTTCTGACGGTTTGATTGAGCCTGGATGGTCGGCTTCCAAGATAGTTCATTCACATGGCTGTTGGCCAGTTCCTCACATTGCTAGCCTCTCATTAGGCAGCTTAAGTGCCCTCATAACTTGTCAACTGGCTTCTCACAGAGCAAGTGACCCAAAAGAGTTAAGATGGAAGGCATAGTGTATTTTATGACCTAATTTTAGAAGTCACACACTGACATATCAGCCTTATATAATTTTTTTGAAACAAGTCACTGAATCCAACCCATACTTTGATGGGGAGTTTAAGTACCACCTCTTAAAGGAAGAAGTATTGAAGAATTTGCATACATATTTTAAACCACCACAATCCACCGTCTGGCCACAAATTTACATTCCTACCACATGCAGAATATATTCTCTCGCTCTCTATGACTCCCCAGAAGTCTCACCTCTTTCAGCTTTCAGTATCAGTTCAAAATTTAGGATGTTGTCATCAAAATCAGATCTAGGTGCAGATGAGGCTCATCTGTTGTTGTTCCTTGAGCATAGCACCTTGAGTGCAGTGTTTGTGATCAGAAGACCTGTGAATTACGGAGACAAGTTTTCTGCCCCTCCCCCAACATGTGGTGATGAGACAAAACATAGGCTAACCAATCTAAGCACTGTTACTCAGTGGAGGAAAACAAGAAGGCATGGAGTCACTGGTCCATAGTAGCTCAAAATCTAGACAGGCAAATGTTACAAGTTCTTTGATTAGAACTGAGGGCCTGAGAATAATTCTCCATTGTTCTGGATTCTGCTTTTTGGCTTATCCTTCTTTTTCCATGAACAGTAACATGTTTGAAGCTGAGTGATTTTCTCAGCCTACTTCGTGTTTGTAGAAATGTGCGAGGCTAAAAGCCTCTTTGTTGTGGAATGACTTTGTACTTATCAGCCCAAGCTAGTAGTATTTCTGTTAACTTAATTCTCTGAAAATATTTGTGGATCTGTGAATATTCTTGGGGTCATTCCATTACACAAAAGCCACACTCAGAAATCATTTTGAAATCAGCCTTTTTTACTTTGGCTTCTGCTGAGATTGCTGAGAGAAAACATCTTTAAACTCTTTGGAAGCCTTGTTTTTTAACACAGAGTTTCTGAGCTGAGCTATGTATAAGATCTTAACAAAGAATTTTATTTTATATATAGACTGGGGTATACAAATTTTTTTGTTAAGGGTCAGATAGTAAATATGTTAGGCTTTGCAGGCCAGATGGTCTGTTCCAGTGACTTCACTCTGCCTTCGTAGCAGGAAAACAGCCATAGACAATATGTAAACAAATGAGGTAGGCTGTGTGCCAATAAAACTATGAGTAAGACATGGAAGTTTGTGTCACATATATTTGTGCATGTCACTAAATCATCTTTTAACTCTTTTCCCAACCATTTCAGACTAAAAAATATTCTTAACTTGTGGTGCATACATAAATAGGCAGCAGCCTAGATTTGGCCCATGGGCCATAGTGTGCCAACAACTGCTTTAGACCATATTTTTCTAAGAGTCTTAGATTTGATCTTGCTTAGAAGCTGTTTATTAAATTTCATGTCATTTGCCTTATGGAAATTAGGACATGAGATACTGGTTCTTTATAAAAAATTTTTTCCTGTAGTTTCACTGTTTCCACCACATATTATGGTAAACAGCAAGAAGAAACCACCAAATACCTTCACCACCTTCCTGGACATCTCCTTAGCTAGATCACCTGTTCATTAGGTACATTTTCTTTGCACATCAATAAAGGTGACACTGTTGCGAAACATTCTGTCACTGCATAGCAAGGATCCCCTTTCCTCCAGTTTCCAATAGCATTTACCTCACTTTTCTGCAAGCCCTTACCTGCAGCTTCCTCAGAGTCCATGTGTTTTCTACTAACAGTTTCTTCAAAGTTCTTCAGGCTTTTGCTAACACACCCACTGACTTTCCAATTTCTGCCCATTGCTTGGGCTCTGAAGCCACTTCTACATTTTAGGTTTACGTTATAGCCACACCCCTTTTCTAGGTCCCTGAATCTGTTTCCCTTATGTATTACTGTGTAAAAAATTGCCCCAAAATTCAGAAGCTTGGAAACTCAAACATTTATTAGGTCCCAATTTTTCTGGGTCAGGAATTTGGGAGTGCTTCACTAGGTAGTTCTGGCTCAGAGGCTCTCAAGAGGTTGCAATCAAGATGTCACCTATGGCTGCAGTCTCTGAAGGCTTGAGATCTGCTTGCAAAATGGTTCATGCATATGGTTGTTGGTAGTACGCCTCAGTTCCTTGCCTCGTTGGCCTCTCCACTTGGGTATTTGAGTGTCCTCACAACATGGCAGCTGTTTCCCCAAAAGCCAGTCATCTAGAAGAGGGAGAAAGCAAGGAGAAAACCAAAGTGCATTCTATGACCGTAGTGTCAGTAGTCACACACCATCACATCTGCCTTATTCTTTTGGTTAAGGAAGTCACTAAGTTCAGCCCACACTCAAGGATTGGGGGAATTCATTCCACCTCTTAAGTATCAAAGGATCTTTGGACTCCTTTAAAAACCCAGTACATTATAGCGCAATGATTATCACTTGGAACTGACAAAGGAACACCATTTTTCATAGAGTTTACTTCCATAGGAGGTATATCTGTCCTAAATCCTAGCCAAGTTGGTTTATTTAATGAAGTATAAAAAATTTCTTGCTGTATAATAGTTTCCACCAGTAAGATGATCATTTAAGACATCTTGTTCACTTATTAGTTTAGGGAATACAGTTAGAATTTTGGCCTGATGTTATTTCATTATAGATTCAGTCAACTCTAAAAAGAAAAAGGATTTTTTTCTTTTTTTTTCTAAAACTTGTTACTGGAAACTGCCATGTAACTTTTTAATCTAAGATCAAAGAGAAAAGTATATTCCTAAATATAGAGTAGATTTATGGTAATACAAAAATTTCATTCCAAAATAAACTAGACTTAGCATATTTATAATTCATTTCTAAAACAGAATTGTGATTAAATTCTTTTACGCCAGTTATGTAAAATTAACAAAATTTTAGAACCTGGATAGATTTTATAAGTCACCAGATTTAACGTCTCTTCATTTTGCAGATGAGAAAACTGAAACACATTGTGGTTAAGTGATTTTTCTTACTCAAAGCTAGTATCTTAGGTGTAATTTCTGAATTATAGTTTAGAGGATAAGAGAGGGGTTTGATTCATGTTTATTCCTTGGAGCTGTTTGAGATAGTTTTGTGTATAAAAAGCCTTTTGGTCAATATTCTGCTTTTATGAGTAGAGTTTTATATGTAGATCCTACTGGTTGTTGAAAGGATGGAATTAAACTTATCCAAGGTATTTTTTCTTTCTCGATTTCTGAAAGTTTTCTAAAAATTGATTGTTTTGGGGTGGCTTCATAGTGTAGTGGTTAGCACGTCTGCTTTACATGCAGAAGGTCCTGGGTTCGCACCCCAGGTGGAGCCAGAGACCATACCCCAGGGGTGCCAGGCCCCGGGTGCATGCCATGAGCATAGGGGAGGAGATGCCCCGCCTTCAGAGATCCAGTTCTTAAGGGGAAACGGCAACATCCATGGTTCAGGGGTGGAAGTGGGGGCAGGGGAAGAATTGAAAGAGGGGGAAAATATTGACCGTTTTGTTGTAATGCACATGTCTATGTTAATGCAGTAAAGCAAAGCGAAAAAAGAAAAGAGAGGAAGCTGAGAAGCTACCTGAAGTGTCTAAAGAAATGTATTATAACATTGCTATGGATTTAAAAGAAATATTCCAAACTATAAAAGATTCCAGTGAAAAGGGAGACGTGCCCTGGAATGAAGACTGTGACAGAGAGAAAGCTGAGGAAGACCACGACCCTGCAGCTCTGATGACTAGGGCTAAGCAGCCCAGCGGGTTCACATTCTCCTTTTTTGATTCAGACACTAAAGGTGTAAAGGAAGGTACTTTTTTTTTAACTTTTTCATTCTAGGCAGTTTAAACTCAATTCTACATTAACTATAATGATTTACCATTAGCTGAAGAATGGATTCTTTCTTCCACCTAGATATACAGTATGAGAATCTATATTAAGTGACTATGAACATCTATATTAAGTGACTATGAACATAATGTGCCTGCGGCTGTATTTAATGCAGCAAAAAATTGTTTTTGCCTTAAGGGAGCCAACTTCTAGCTAGCTGCCGTATGAAGGGAAACTAGAGAATAATGTACAACATCCTTTCTGTTGAAGTAGAAAGAAATAGTCATGAAGAAATTTAGTCATATATTTAAATAGCTTCATATATTAAATGCATTTGTAGAAGCCATGGCTTATGGAAACCAAGTACTATATGGTAGGGGAAAGGAAGAATGATAACCTTGGCTTTATACAAATATGCTGTGTCACAGCTATACCAGTTGTTTCTAAATTTATCCTTGCATGTTTGCCAGAACCTAGAGAAAAGTACCAACACTGGTATGTATAGTTTTGCATTCCACTTCAGGTTTACCTCTGAAGGCCAACATGGGCCAAAGTTAAAAACACCTGTTCCTTTGGAGGCTGCTCTTCACCTAGTATTCAAAATGGAAGTGTAGCTTTTCTGGAATTTTATTGTATAAAGCAGGATACACCTATACAAGAGAATACATGCACACTTAACTACAATGGATGCTACTTTAAAGATTAGCAGTTAAAATAGCATTCATGTGTTTAGCAGATAAGTATTAAATATCAGCTCTATGGTACTGCAATCTAACAGTTTTTCAAATATTGTTCTAAATGGAACACAGTATATCATGTACTATGCTTACCTCATTCTCTTTCCTGTGTGGTCCATTTTAGTCCCAAGGTAAGTCCTAAACTATTAAGCGCAGTCAGTGCGGTATGGATGTTAACTATGATTCTTCTGACTTTGAGAGCCAAGTTTGAGAAAGTTGTCTTGAAATGAGTACTAAGACATCTCAGCAACCTGGGAGATGTGCTTTAAGTACTTGGGAAATTTGGGGACTTGTGAGGTGATTATCCACATTTTACAGCAATAGTGTTTTCAGCAGTTCTGGAAAGAGATCTTGGAAACTGAAAATGTAAACATAAGTACCTTTTCACATGTATAAATAAGCAGGAGGGAAACCTGGTTTCACTACATTATTTTCTATTTTAGGCTTCTCATGCTAGCACAGATGCCACAATTATTTTGTTCTTTTAAACGGCGTTGCCCACTTATACACCTTTAGTTTTTGTATTTTTTTATAGAATACTGTATTCCTTATCAGATCACCCTAGCAATGCCAAAAATATGATAGTAGTTTCTCTTAATATTTGAAACTCTTAGAAGATACTACTTATTTTTAATTAATGATAAGATATTGAAAATGTAGAGATATGCATACCTGGTGAAAGTAATCAAATGAGTGTGTTCAGAAATGCTTGGTTGTTAGTTACAATCCTGTTATCTTTTATTGTTGTGATGATATAGATACCTACAGAGTTGAGACAATGAAACCTGGTAAGGCTGCCTGGCAGGGAGCTCCTCGTTTCCAAGACAGCAGTTCAGAAGAAGAAGATGTTACAGAAGAAATAGATGACAGAACTCCCAGCCCTGGGTAAGCAATTTGTTTCTCTACAGGAATACTTCATAATTTGTAAAATTCGAGTTAGACATGCTTTAGAAATATTCTAGAAGTATCTAAGCTTATTTTTTCAAGACAGTTTTTTCTCAGCTCTAGAGAATTCTGTATTTTTTTGTAATAGGGGGCATGTTTTATTTTCTTGAGATTTGGATTGCATTGGATGGAGAATATGTGTACAGGGAAGGGAGCCTAACACTGAAGTCCCTGGTCGGGAAAGAGGATGCTGCAGCTGGCTGGCTGCCATCCGATGGGAAACACTGGCAGATGGGGTGGCAGTAGTAAGATGGGAGTATCATCAACCAGCATAGGGAAGATAGAGCTTGTACTTAAACAAGTCTTCATTACCAAAGATTCAGAGAGAAGAATGTTGAATAGGAAGAGCATGAGATCAGAGCAAAATAAGCAAAACATAAAGCAGATATACTTAAGGAACGGTTCATTTATATTTTCGATGTAAACATTTCTTCTAAAATATTGAAATTAACCAACCAATATCTATCTAATCTATCTCTGTCTCTCTGTCTTTTTTCAGAGAAGTATCATTGCCTGGAAAAGAGACTGCTAGATTTTTCTTTTTCTCTAAGAATGATGAAAGACTTCATAGTAAGTTCATTTTTTGATTATAGAACCGATAATAGTACAGCTTTCACCACGGCGCATTCTGATACAGTAACATGCATCTAAGTAAGAACTGTTGGGCAAAAATTCTGACCCTTTGCAATGTCATATGGTTTAGCCGCCTCTGATAGACTGATGCATGTCGACTTATAAATCTCTGGAAGGCTGAGAGCTCCCACTTATTACCTCCTTCACTCAATTATTATCATCAACAAGGGCTTGTTTTGCTTCAGGGACATGTTTAGAAGCTAGACAAAAAACTCCTACATTTGTAGTACCCTGTAAGTTCATGTGAAAACTCTGAGGCTGTTGGTGAACTCATTTCTTAAAGTCTAGCACAAACATAAACCAAGTTGTATAATAGTAAATGGTATATAAATAGTAAAATCCTAGCAATTGTACACTTCTATTTTGTAAAATAAAAAAAAAATTTTAAAAACTGTTTTTGAAAACTGGCATTAATTGGTGAGGGAAGAGAGGAAGGTCTTAACTAGAATTAAAGACCTCGATAATGTCAGCACTAGAATATTGTCCTTTTGGTATTAATATGCTTCTTATCTTTTTTTATTTTTTTTTTCCGAGTAGGTTCTGGCTTATTCTGGAGAGGACTGGGAGGCAATATTAGCAGGAATTCTTGGGAAGCCAGAAGAAACAACTTGCTTATGGTAGGTAATTGTCTCTTTATATTGTCTCCTAAAATAGATAACAGTGTTATGTTGTGTTAATATTTGCCTTGTGTAAGAATATGGGAACTTGAGACAGAAAGGATGTCTTAGAAGGGAACTTTGAGGTTATTTAATCCAACATTCATTCATAGTACAGGTGAGGAGACTAAAGACTGGCTGAGTTGAATGCTGGTCCAAATTCCAACCATGTTCATTAAGTAATAGGAAACCATGAGACTTTTGAAAGATTGCATTAGACTTTCCATTGTAAACACTTAAAGCCAAAAGTTTAAATAATCCCTGTTCATTCCAGGTGAGCACCTCCAAAATGGTTTCCACGACCCTGACACTGAATAATCCTAAATTTTACTTTATAGTTACTGAACTCCTTGAAAATAATTTACGTTTATTTTTAACAAAGGCTTTTGATTTTGTCTGTCTAGGATTGCCGGAAGAAACATAAAGATGCCAAAAGGAGAGTGAAACCAAAATAATAAGTGTCATTATTGGTTTCGATACTGATTGTGAACAAGAAAATAATTTCAACAGATAAGAATTCAGAGTGAAGGAATATTCAAAATATAGCTGATGAATATCATTCTGGTTGCTGTCTTTTTCTATGGATTTCCCCTATTTCTTCTTAAGTAATTACTTCAAAAAAATTAATCTGAACTTTTTTTTAATGAAGCACAAAATAGTCTCTCAAAAAACACTTTTTATGTATTATCTCTTTGCCTTCCATCCTCAATAACTAATGGGCATCTTCTGATGCAAGGTTTACATAAAGCCTGTTTAAATAAATGGGTCAGAGCACTTGTGTTTTCCAAATTAGGCCTTGTTTGAATTATAGGCTGCTTGAAATATTTATTTCTAATTGTACCAAGTACACCTTATCTCCATCTTGTGGTTTTTGTTTAAGAGGTTGAACATAAGTCACACTTGAGTTCTATACTTACATCCTGATGAATAGCCAACTGAAATGCAGGATATTTCAGACCAACATCATAGGAGAATTTTGTGAGGACCAGAAAAGGACACCAAATACAGAGTTTTCTTTCCTGGGCCTCTAGGAATTGATGAAAAGGCCTGTCAATCCCAAAATTCTAGTTAAACAAGAGGCTTATGAAAAGTCCAAGTGTCTGTCTGAAAGGTATGTAGTCACAGTTAGGAGTAAGGACTCTTAAGTCCATATAAGGAAGCAGATTTTATACCTTATTAAATCAACCTGGCTAGAATGAAAGACAGATAAGCCTCTTATCAAACTGGGATCTCTACAGAATTTTGTTATGTAGACAATCCCAAGAGATTATCATTGAGCCATAATGTGTATACCTGAAATTAAGTATTGATTAACATCTTGATTCAATATAAACTTAATGAGGGCTGGGATGTCATCTGATTAACCATTAATCTAGCACAGTGGGTGCTCAGTACATAAATTTTTTAATAAGTAAGGTCCAAGGAACTAAGTAGCCAAAGAGTCATTCTTAGGTTCCCAAGACTTCAGATTTCACAGGAAATGGAAACAACTGCTCAACAGGATAAAGAATCCAAATATTCCACTTTTTCTTGATGTATACTACATTTATACTTTCTTATCTACTGCTGTATAACAAGTCATGCCATTAACAAACATTTTGCTTACAAATAACCAATTTGGTCAGGACTCGGTGAGGACTGCTCATGTCTGCTCGATTGGAGTGGCTCTACTGGGGCTAGTGGATCTACTTCTGAGATGGCGTGCTCACTCAGTACCTATCCATGGGATTCCTTACAGCATGGCAACTAGGTATCAGGAACCAGAAGCCGATGCTGCTAGTCTGTTAAGACCTAGCCCAGAAATTGGCTCAGAGTCATTTCTACTATATCCAATAGGCTTCACTGTATCCTCTGACATTTATCTCCATATTTCTACCCAACATGCTTATGCTGTGATTTCTTGGTTTTTCAGTTTCAGAGATTACCTGTTAACTTCCTACTCTGAAAAATGAGGATTTAACTCTAGTTCAAGTAGTATATTTTGACCACATTTTTTTCCTATTATCTCTTGTTTTCACTTACTCAACTTTTTCTAGACTTAGTCTTCCCAGACCTTCCAACACCATAAAATGTTTCTCAACTCAATTTTTAAATAATCCTCCCCACACTTTTCCCCTGGTGTCATCTGTCTGGGAGCCCTCTGTCCTGCTCTAATCTAGGCTGGACAGATGACAAAAATGAACTGAACAAGGTGGCAACTTGAGGAATGCAAAGACTTAAAACACTTTCCAAGTACTTCTAGGTAATAGGCTGAAGACACACAACTACTAAACGTGTTCAAGTGAGTTCCATTATTGAGTCGAGCATTAACCTCATTGAGGAAGGGCATGAAACCCACCTTTCCCTAATCCCAGACACTTAGTAGGGTGTTCCTAGACTTTAAGTGACTGTCGAATGAATGCTGCATAGACTATCAAAATGTTCTTAAACTTATCAGGGAAGTGCTTTCTTCATATTCTCAGATCGAGTTTTTCTGTCCCTCTAATGGGTTCAATATTCAATTTGTCAAGGCCTGAAATTTCCTTGTAGTCTCTGGTGCCAAAGCCTGAGGTCCACTGTCCCTTGCATGGCTCCAGATTCTCTTCTTTTTAACCAGCAGATCCAGAGGTGCCAGGCAGACAGTAGTGATAAGTAAGCAGATAAGTAATTTTATTTTCATAAAACAATTTTAAGGCTAGTTACCAAGCATTTCCTTTTTGTTTTATCTCTCCATACGGCTATTTACCATAATTTCTGCGGTAAAACCCAGAACTCTCTAGGTGGCACTGAAGGACACAGTAGGGAAGGCTTCCATGGAACAACACTGACCAGGAGTGTTTCAGCTCCTTCCATTGTATTGTTGACCTGCGTTTTTCTGAGAACAGGAGGGCTCTTAAGTTAAGCAGGTCAGGAATTTTTAGTGTGCAGCAGAGTCATCCAGAATGCCTTTTAAAATGCAGATGTTTGTGACTCACCTCCAAAAACAGTCTAAAGCAGTCTACGTATGTGGCCCAGGACTCTGCATTTTGGCAAACTTGGGTGATCTGGTGCAGGTCTCCACTATACTGGAAAAACGGCCCTAGAGCTGAAGCTGCTTTCCTGTAATGGTCGCCTAGGAAAGCAGACTTGAGAACGCGTAGTTACGGTCCCGAGAGTAATAATTACCGAAGCCACCGTCATTAGATTCGATTTGTCCACTGTACAGGTGGTGAACATTGACAAACGCGTACACCTGTGTAACAACGACCGATCAGGCTGTCGAACTTAAGCCGCCCCTCGGTGCCCGTCCCAGTCAGTCCCCAACCTGGAGGCGGCTACAAGGTCATTTCCCCCCTGTCGCCCAAGCTGCGTGGAATAGTCCGGCCGCCCTCCCAGCACGCACTACAGGGCGCGGCCGGGCAGGCGTGGCCAGAGCCCCGTTCAGCAAATCGGCGTCCGATTTGTTGACGGGTGTTTGACGACGCGAGCTGATTAGCCGGTGCGGACCGCAGGCGGTCGCTGTCAGAGCCTTGCATCACCTCTGGACCTCTGGAAATCCTGCAGTGGCGTCCACGCGGCTTCTTCCGAGGCGTGCAGGTTCGGGAGCTCCCCAGGTACGGCATCTGTGTACACTGTTTTTTGGTGTTTCTTCGGGCCTGTGGGTTAGTTGAGTGCATATCCATTTCCAAGGAGAAGATTGGGAGGGGGTGTAAATGGGGCTGCAGAACTCAGAACCCGCTACGAATCCTGACTCTCGGGCCGAGGGTTGGAAGTTGAGGTGTTCATTATACAGACCAAGTTCTAGGCTCGCATGAAAGAGCATTTATGGCTGGGTGTCTGGCGTTACAGAGGAGTATAGTAAGCACAGTAATCTTGTCCTCGGCTCTCACACAGTTTGATAATGCAGTGCAGTGTGCATAGAGGAGGAAGGCAGATCTTCAGTGGGATTTGAAGGTGGAAAAAGAGACGGTGTCTCAGGAACTGCGATGGGTTTGAGGCCTTGAAGACAAGGAGTTGGGGGAGAGAGTGAAAGGATCCAGGGGACCATATCGAAGTAGCAGTGAGGACTTATAAGAACTTTAATATCATAACTTGTGGCCACATATATGGATTTTTTTGCAACTTGAGCTCTGAAACTGCTTACAGAGAATAACCTTGCCTGCAGATTGAGCAGCCCCCTTTGTCCTGATTTTAATGCTCGATAAATTGTACTGTTTGCATCCTTGTTAAATAATACTCCCTGTACTATAATTTTGTAACCAAAGACAGCTTTTTGTTCTACAGGACTGGGCTGAAACTATGATGTTGATAAATGCTTAATCATTATTACCCATTGTTCTCATCTCACAACCACACTTGTTTAACCACTGAGTCAGCTCACCATTGAAAGTCCAGTTACCCCCACCAATCAGAAAACCAGTGATGTAAGTTTAGGGTCTTGTTGCTCCTAGCAACCTATCTCATTGATCATCAGCTTGCAACTTTTGCCTTTGTAAACCCTTCCCTATCCTTTCCATTTGGGACATATTCTCTGTTCATACCGAGGACTACATTTCCTGGTTTGCAAATCATTATCTGAATAAACTTTTAATTTTCAAAAGAAGTTCCTTTGGACTTCTGTTTACAGCAGGATTTCAAAGTGTGTGTTGATTGAGGAAGTGGGCAGTAGTCACTGTAGTCACTGCAGCTTAGGATATATGTAAAGATCAAGTGAGAGATAGTACACAGCTTCCAGCCTTAGGAATTTATGGTTTCCTTCTTGAAAGAAATGGTACTTGAAATGAGACCAAAAGAAAAGATAGATTTTTTTTATAAGGTAGCACAATATTTCTTTTAGCATTCAGGTTTTGCAGAGAGCTCAGGAATGATAAAACTAGAGGCAAAGTAACAGATTTAGGGGATTTCTAGTAATATGATCAACTTTTAAAAAGTAAATATCAGTAAAATGGTGGATAGCAGAGGAGAGAAGACAGCTAAGTGTAGATTGCACTCTTTAAATGTTTTGGAAGAAATGATATAATGGTTGGGCAAGGGCAATAGAATGGAATTTTGAGGCAAATAAGTAATAATAGCTTACATACATGATGTGATTGCTGTGAGCTGTAGTAGGCATTATTTCATTGATTATCATTGTGAGTGTTTATAATTTATTTTACAAGTGATTAACTTCCTGTAGCTCAGATATTAAGTGGTGGCAAAATTCCAAAGCCAGTCCTCTTAACCATTATCCTGAGCCAGGAAGAGCCCATAGAGAAGAATAGATTGGAAAAGAAAGTAGAAGGCGTGTCACTGTGGAAACTAAGGATACTGACAAAGGGATTCATTCATTTTGAGCCCTTACCATGTATAAGTACACACTGGAGGTCATATAGTAAAGTCTTACTGCCAGCATCAAGTATACAGTTGAATTGGAGGGTGTGGGGGCCATGCAGTGCAAATAAACCACAATGTGTGGGAGAGGAACAGATTCAGGGGATGGGGATATTAGTTCTGAAAAATGGGGATTGATGGAAGCCTCACAAAATTAAGCTAAGTAGTATTAGAGTATTTGGAAAAAGGGACTGATAGAAGAAAATGGTTTTGTTTTTCAGCAGTGCCCAAGAGCATGATGTAGCTGTAGTGTGCTTTATAGGAGTAGAGGGCTGAAGTAAGAATAGGAATTTGGAGTAAGACCATGGTGGCCTTAAGTGTTCCACTGAAAAGTCTACAGAGTGCTATTAGGAGTAAGGCACCCTGGAATTCTTTTTTTTTTATTACAGAAATGTTACTTTCAGAGCTTTTCAATTATGAAGGTTAATCTACAGTGGTCTGTAGGATATAGAATATTTATTTTTCTCTTTATTTTAAAAGTTTTTGTGATAATATATAATCCCCCCCCCCCAAAAAAAAAAATCATCAAAACAAAGTAGTAGGAGTGCTAAAATTTTTTTTGACTTTCACAACTAAAGTCTTTTGTAAGGTTTCATTGAGCCCGAAATACTAGTCAGTCTTGGGGAATGGAGTCTAAACCCCCAGCAAGCAGCATGGCTAGTTAGAAAAGATAGCACATCCATCGTTCCAGAATTTTGCAAGCATTTTCTAAACATCAGGTTAGGGGGAAGAGGGAAGAAAGAGGTGACTGAAAGAATTTACATTAGCTATAGGCAAAGGGTGAGAGAAATTATGGCAGTGCCAGCTCTGGGATAGGCACAGAGTCTGTATAAACAAATGTCTACTCCTGTAGATTGGCTGAGGGCAGCAGTCTGGAAAGCCCACATGTAAACAAGTGGAGGCTCCTAGAGTTAGATGATGCCTGGCTGAACAACAAATGGAAATAGCCACCTGGAAGTTAATCCAAAGTCCCAACAGGCAAAACAGGAATATGAGCAGTCTTTCGTTAGCTAGTCAACAGCCATTAACAGATTAATAGTTCTGTGTCTTTCTCTTAATCTCTGGCCACCGTAATTTAATTTAGAACATCTCGGAATTTTCTCCTTGTCAGAGGTGACAAATAAAAATCTGTTCTTTCATGTCTTCCCCTCTAATCTTACTCCCTGATGGTAGGATTAAGTTTGGTAGATAGTCTTCTAAATTTAACTACAAAATTACTTAAACATAGATTTAACATATATATATATAATTTATTGAGAGTGATACACAGTATAAATTGCCACAACTGAGTTGCTGTTAGTATGTATAGGTAATATGTATATTTAATATATCATGATTTATTATTTTTAATGCCTACATGGTATTGATGTACTGTAATTTATTTTAGTCACATATTCATGAATATTTTAGTTATTTCCAGGTATTTGTCTGTAAAAACAATGCTTCAGTTACTATCTTTGTACATGTATTCTATATTTGTGTAAGTATATCTGTGCTGTATATGTTAGTAGGATATTACTAAACTGAGAAAAAGCTAGAGATAGACCACCTCTGTGGTTAAATTTGACTTCGTGTTATGAAGACCCGTTAATGAAGAAAAGAGAACAGAAAAATAGTCAGATCCACATGACTTAGTGATCAATTTGGATGTGGGCATCATCTGGTAGTACTAACGGTGACTCGGAAATTTCAGGTGATGGGAGTGAATAGTGGAACTACTACTACAAGTGCAATTAAAAATGGGAGCAGGTGTGACAAGGAAAATCATGAGATTTATTTTAAACAAAAATTTTTTTTTCTGTCTGCTTCCCAAAGATCTATTGAAGTAAATGCAAGTAAAGATCAAGGAAGGTATCAAGAAATTCCTGAACAGGAGGTTGAGGCTAAAGATGTCTGTAGGAGTTGTATAACAGGGAAGAGTGAAGGCCTGGATTATAGGAAGAGGGAAGAAGAGGTGGTTGCTTTCCTGAGCAAAATCTGGTGAGGTCAATCTACTTCCTCTTTCCCACTCCCCACTCCCACCAGCGCCCTGTGGGTACTGGATGCTGTTGTGCAGGCATAGCTCTCCAGGGCATGTGAGGAGCCAAAGCAATCCTGTGATTTATGCATGGAGGCTGTTTCTCTGCAGTAGCCACCATAGCCCTGTCACTGATACATGGCTTTTCCTGGAATATTCGGTGTCATTACAATTGGTCTTTGTGTTTGGCATAATAATGTAGTGGTTCTTAATCTTTTGGGGAGTAGAGGCTCCCTAGAAATTTTTATAAAAGTTATGAGCCTTCTTCGTGGAAAGCTTAAATCTCATTTTCTCAACAACACAAAAAAAATTAAAAGTTCAGATAAATAGTCCTAAATAATGGTCAGAACAATTCTGGAGTAGTGACTCTCAAATTTCGATGTGCATGCTAATCCCATGGGATCTTGTTAAACATAGGTTCCGGCTCCTCATTCAGAGGTAGAGCGGAGTCTACTCTAATAGCTTATATAGATCTTGACAATCATAGGACCGGCCTTTAGGAGCATTAGAAGTGACAGAAATAAATGTGTTGACATCTACAGATCTACTGTTCTTTCAGTGCAATCTCTTAAGTTTCAGTTGCCCTCTAAAAAGGTAGTCATTAAACCAGTAGGACCCCTAGTAAATCAGTAAGTGCACAAACAATTCCTCTTTCTGTCCTTGAAAGACTAGAAGTTGTAACAAGAACTGAAGATCCAAATTCCCTCGACTTCTATTTAATACCATTTAATGGCACACTAATCATAAATGGATAGTTGGGTTAATTAAACGACCCACCTGTTCTTGTTTTTTTCTTATTTAAAACTCAAAGACACTCTTGCATCTCAAAAAGAAAGGAAAGAAGAGATACTGCTTATAACAAACTTTAAATTTGTTTTGATGGCATTGGTCAATTACTGTGATTAGGCTTTGATGTTTTCAGAATTACTTAAACTCTGTAGGCCTCTTTGCTTCTAAAGTCTGTTGCCTTAGACTTACAGTTCTTGAGTTCTTAAGGTTTTCCATCTTCTCTGTTGTTTTCTCGTTATTAGTAGTCCTATTTCCTTCTAACCTGATGTTGGCTTGGAAATCTGGCCTAATTTTAGAATTATAAAGCAAGACTAAATAAGCTTTGAGGAAGAAAAGGCTCCAGAATGCTTGGTAGAGAGTTAAACCCCAGATTAGTCAAGTGTTTCTACATGATGTTATTAGCAAAACTCTTAAAATGACATTTTAAGACTTCTCTCCTAGGGACTAAATGATGAGAACTATAGAATTTGTCCTTTCCAAAAATCATGAATAAGCAATAAAAGGGATACAATGGAAAATTGGAATGGGCTAGGGATTGTATGAATGTGAGAGTCTCATCTTTTTTAACTTTAAAATTTTTTTAGGTCTTATTCTTTAGTAGCAAGTTGTTGTTATTAGGGTTAACAAAATAAGGTTAAAGAGATAAGGATATTTCAACAGAAGTGCTTTCTGTCCTGTGAGTGTAGATACAAATTCTTACCTACTTTGAGATTTTTTTTCAGATTATTATTGAATTTTTATTGTCACTAGATAGAATTCCCCGTATTTTTTTGTTTACTTTTAGAAGCATATTGTCTACAATTACTAAATGTTATACTATTGTTGAAAAATAGATGAAGAGTGTGATTTGGACACAAGTTTTGCAATAATTTTGGAAATAGCATGTATCCCTACTTCACACTATATATAAAAATAACTCAAAATGGATCAACAACCTAAATTCAAGAGGTAAAAATTCACAACCGTATTTTAGGTAGTGGTTTCTTAGACAAAACCTCTAGTAATAACAACAACAACAACAACAACAAAAAACAGATAAACTAGATGTCACCAAAATAAATTAAAAGTGTATGTACTTCAAAGAACACTGTGGAGGGGCGGGAGAAGGCAACCCACAAATTGTAGAAAATTTTTGCAAATTATATAGCTGATGAGGAGGGCTTGTATCTGGAATATGTAAAGAATTCTTACAACTCAACAATAAAAAGACAACTCCATTAAACACTGGGCAAAGGATGAGTAGAGAGCTAAGATACAAAAATGAGCAATAAGCACATGCTCAACATCGCAAGTCATTAGGGAAATGCAAATCAAAACCCCACTGAGGTCCCACTTCCTACTCACTAAGATGTCCTGTAATCCAATAATAGGTAATAAGGAAGGAGGACTTGGAGAGACTGGAATCCTCATTCACTACTGGAATAATGTAAAATGGTGCATCGGCTTTGGAAAACATTTTGTCAGTTTCTTAAAAAGTTAAACACAGAGTTACCTACCAGTTTCACTCCTAGATGTGTACTCAAGAGAACTGAAATCATATGTCCACACAAAAACTTACACATGAATATTCTTAGCAACAGTGTTCATAATAGCCGAAAAGTGGAAACAATCATAATGTCCATGAATTGATGAATGGGTAAACAAAATATGGCATATCCATATAATGAAATATTATTAGTTATAAAAAATAATGAAATAGGAATACATATGACAGCATGAACTAAGCTAGAAAACAATTCTAAGTAAAAGAAGCCAGAGAAAATAGGCTATATATACATGATTCCATTTATATGTAATGTCTAGAATAGGAAAATCTATAGAAGCAGGAAGCAGATTTATGGTTGTTGGAGGGCGGGGGAAGGAGGGAATGAAGAGTGACTGCTAATGTGTATAGGGTTTTAGAGGGTAGGGTTGGAGCAAATTAACTTGAATGTTGTAATACAAAAATTCAGATGAAAATGTTCTGGAATTAGAGCATATGATCATTGCACAACCTTGTGAATATACTAAAAACCATGGAATCGTACACTTTATTAAGGATGAATTTTATGCTATGTGAACTTTACCTCAAAAAAGCTGCAATTATGTTTAAAGTACCATGTAGTATCAGGTAGTAATATGTACGGTCATTTTAATATATGTACTCTATTATCCCTTGACTTTTGAGGACAATAAATTTGATTTCTTTTGCAGCAACAAAATGGTTCAACAAGTTCCAAAACAGCAA